ATCAAAGAGCTTTGTAATATATTCTCCACCCACTCCTATTCTCACCCCAGGAAGCTGAAAAGCCCAAAACCACCAATCAAGGATAACTGCAGACAACTCACACGTCTTAAACCAAATGCCGAAAACGTTATCACCCTTATCAAATGTTATCACCTTCTCTATCACCCAAACAGAAAGGTAAAGCTTGAGGCATAGGCCTGGAGCAAATTCCAGGCTGAACGCTGAAAGAATGAGGAATGAGTAGGCTGTATAATATAAGGTAGGCATTAAAAGCCTGAGAAAATTGTCCCTAATTCATCTAGGGACAGGCCTTCATTCTTTTAGTAGTTGTGTCATGTATTCATAGTCAGCTATTTGTTTGCTTTTTTAATTTGGAGAGCTAGACTTGCCAGTGTTTACCCTGAACACCCGTCTATGGCCTCATTCTTCCCTCTGTCACAATAAAAACCCTCATAGGCTGAAGCACTTGCAGCTATGGGTTGCAGTTCTGTATTTCCGTAGTGTCAATCTTTCTCTGCCACTCTGTTTTGGATATTTTCTTGCCTGAGTGCTGTTCTGGCTCTCAAAAGTGCCCTCGGGTCTCTTCTCCCGATACAAAACCAGCAACCATTAATGACTAGACCAACAGAAATAAACCTTTTTTTCCCTCCACACCTTCTTGAGGACACAAGGGACAACAAATTCACCACTGCCTCTCAATCCAGGACTTTTGATAACATTTGGTGTCATCAGGCTGTTCGCTCCATCTGCATGCTATACCCTTTCCCCCATCCTGTATCCCTCTTGTCTATTAGAGCAGTGGTTCTCAAATTTTTTTGTACCAGAACCCAATTGTAAACATCAATGGCCAGTCTCGACCCAGTGCTCCTCATTCCCAACCTGCTACCCCCCGCCCCCAGGTCCCAGCCCCCCCAAGTGTGTAGGGTACAGGGTGGGTTTGTGGGGTGGGGGCTGCAGAGGATAAGGGGGGTCCAGCTGGAACTCTGCCAGCCTGCAAGGGAAAAGCCACAGTTTCCCACATTTTTCTTCTTTAAAAGAGAATACATTTTTAAAATTTGTTCACGACCCTTTCATATATTCTTGCCACCCACTTTTGGATCATGGCCCATGGGTTGAGAAACACTGTATTAGAATATAAACTCTGGAGCAGGGACTGCCTGCTACTCTGTGTTTGTACAGTACCCTGCAAAATCAGGAACTAATGCAACTGTAAAAAACACCAGCACCAATAATACTATTACACTGATACTTTATTAACCTCATTCAGTCTGAAGCAAGGAGCCTGCTTTTAGCATAGCAGTAAAAGGGCAAGCATAGTCAGAAGTTTTGCAGTAACAAAAGAATAGGAAACCTGCTTTGCACCCATGGGCCATCTACTGCAGTATCCTATCCCTGACAGTGATCAGAATCAGATACTTCAGAAGAAGGTGTTATAATTCCTCCATGTTCAGTTTTGGGATAATTTGCCCCATAAACATTTCAATAAAGCATGAGACCCATGGTTCCAACTTTAATTCACTATCTTCCATTTCCTTTTACCTCTCTACCCATTTCTCCACAGACTAGTCAGAGACAGAACATCAGCAAATGCCTTACAAACTGCTCAAAAAAGCATAGAGAGAGACTTCTCCAATCTAAAACCCTTTTTCCTTCAAGTCATTAGTTCAAATCCAGCACAGAACCATATGGAATGAAAGTTAACTTCCCTAGGGTGTTTTGTTAAAGCACGTACTTTTTTTGTTTTTATAAGATAAAAAGATGAAAAATGTTATAGAGTAATAGATGATGTCAATACAAAACAACAATTCAAGCTCTGCTTCAATTAAAATTGAAAGCATATATTACACACACAATTTATTCGTGGGAAAATGTGTGTTAGCCATGTGCCATAATTATGTGAACAAATATAAATATTTCATGCACCATATGCTGTATTATGCTGCCTTTATAGATGCCTGCCTCCTGGCAGCTCTAATTTACACTGGATGGCAATCACTCTCAAGGGGGCTGACAGGGCAGCTGGGGAGTTGTGACAGATAGCAGAACTCCAGTCACACTTCCCTGAATACCCCAAAGTATGTCCCCTATATACTGGCTGGGCTCAGACTACTGGCACACAGCCAACTATTCTGATTCCCCACTTCAGGATCCTCCCATGTGAGAAATCCTCAGAGTGGTTAGGACAGCTCTTTGCCCTGGCCATCAGAACAGAGAAAAAGGGGCCCTATCTTGACCAAGCAGACTCAATGTGCTTTTAAAACTCCACTAAGCCCTGCATTTCTCCCTCCCCTATCCAGTGCTGTACATGCTTCCTATCCCACTCAGCCCTGTTACCTGTATATTGTAGACATCAAGACTTACATGAAGTGGCAGCAGTTGTGCACTAAAACCCCGAGATGTGAATGAGTATCTAGGCCACATGATACACTTCCTGTTAGTAAAATTCTGTACCATGCAAACTGACATGGTATAAAACCAAGGACAGAGGTAACGATCCAGAGATGCTCACCCTTTGACGGTACATGCTCTAGGCAACAATCCCTTGGGAAACTAGTTACTTACAGTCAACCAAACAATTTGCTGGAGTATCTCAGTAATGTGTAATTTTCAGTAGTACAGTGCTTAAAATGCTCTGCATGAAGTATTCAAGGAATGCAAGCAGAGAGCTCTGTATCACAGTTTACTTCAAGATACTCTGGTTTCATTGTAAGCTCAACTATTCTGTGGGATGAATGCACATGTCCCACAAAGCTCGTTTCTAACCTAATCATGATCCCTCAACATGATTATACACCCTCCAGAATTCTCATTCCAAGTTCCTAAACTATGACTCTTTTTTGTGGTTACATTTCATAACTCACTTTATTCTTTCACTGCATATAGTTTCATAGTTTCTAGGGTCGGAAGGGACCTGAGCAGATCATCTAGTCTGACCCCCTGCCATGGCAGGAAGAGCACTGGGGTCAAACGACCCCAGTAAGGTGATCATCCAACCTCCTCTTAAAAACCCCCAGGGTGGGAGCCTGCACCACCTCACTTGGAAGCTGGTTCCAGACCCTAGCCGCCCTCACCGTGAAGTAGCGCCTCCTGATGTCCAACTTAAACCTTCCCTCCGCCAGCTTGTCACCATTGTTCCTGGTCACTCCTTGCGGCACTCGGGGGAACAGGGACTCCCCCAGCGCCTGCTGATCCCCCCCTAACCAGTTTATAACAGGCCACAAGATCCCCCCTCAGCCTTCTCTTTTGAAGGCTGAACAGGTTCAGGTCCCGCAACCTTTCCTCATAGGACCTACCCTGCTGTCCCTTGATCATACGAGTGGCCCTCCTCTGGACCCTCTCGATGCTGTCCACATCCCTCTTAAAGTGCGGCGCCCAGAACTGGACGCAGTACTCCAGCTGCGGCCTGACCAGTGCTACATAGAGGGGGAGGATCACCTCCTTGGACCTGCTCGAGATGCATCTGTGGATGCACGACAAGGTGCAGTTGGCCTTCCTAGCCGCCTCCCCACATTGCCGACTCATGTTCATCTTGGAGTCAATAATGACTCCCAGATCCTTTTCCACCTCCGTGCTGACAAGAGGGGAGTTCCCCAGCCTGTATGTATGGTGCCGATTGTTCCTCCCCAGGTGCATCACCTTACACTTGTCTGTGTTAAACCCCATCCTATTCTCCTCCACCCATCCTTGTAACCTATCTAGGTCCAACTGTAGCCTGTTGCTCCCCTCTATTGTGCCCACATCCCCCCACATAGGTTTGCCTTCTGCGGAATAGGTCCACAACAAGTTACTGCAAGATAACTGGGACAGTGATTCTCAACCAGGATGTCATGGCACCCTAGAGTGCCGGGAGATCCTTTTAGAGCCAGCAAGGTTGCTGGGTAATATTAGCACTAGTAGGTGGGCAAACACCTACATAAGATTCACAAGACAAACTCAAGAGATTTCAAAAAGGAATCTGCAATGTCAAAAATATTGTGCCCTACAGTGGCCTTTCTGAATTCTTTGCAACAGAAGAATTGTTCTGTTATTTTTCCATAATCAGAAACTAAGTGAAAGCTAAGAGGTTGCATCTTCCAAGGGGTGCCTTGAGTCTAAGAAGGGGTGCCTTGAGCCTAAAAAAGTACAGAACCACAGAGTTAGGGTGTGAGGTACACAGAGTCATTTACTCCACAGTAACTGTCCAGGTGCATGCTCTTACCCCGTGGGGAATGAGAAATAGGAAAATGAGGGATAAGCTTTCTTTCACTTAACACAGGGTAAGAACAAGCCTCTGGGCACTTACTGTATGATAACTTGTTCATGAGTCCATGCTCTCATTGATAACTGTCCTTATGGTAGGGCCCTATTTTGGTCTTAGCTCAGAAATCTGTCTCCCTTTTATTGTGCTCTGAATTCTTTAAATACTCTGTTTCCCCTTTGGTGCTACAGAGCCCACATGTTAACTGTAATACATTGTTCTGAGAGCCAGCATCAACAGTGCTGCTGGTGCACATAGCTCTCTTGGCATATGGTGATGTTTAAGCTCAAGTTGTTACTCAACCTCTGGAAATGAAGAAATAATTCAGGCCACATGCCCATTCACACTTTGCTAAGGTTGCTAGTTCATGCCTATCATGATAATAGTTTTGTGATATGAGAATTGTATACAAACTGAACCAAAACCATTCACCAAGACACAGGAAGAATTATTAGCCAAACTAAACTCAAACAAGCAGACAAAAGGTGAAGAAAGGCCATTCTCCTTAAAGTTGGACAAACAGCAAAACATTCAAATGGGAGAGAATAAGATCAGATGGGGAAAAGTGTTATTTTACAGATTATTAAAGAGTACTGTTGTATAGTTTCAAAAGGATGCTACAAGTAATGGCACATAAAGCCACAGAAATGAAAAAGCCAAGGAAATGTTTGACCTTGACCTTGGTGCTCTCTAAAAGACCGGGAAAATAGTGAAGAAACCCAGCTTGTGCCATATGCTAGAAGCCCTCCCCAGTGCTCTTTACCTGATCGCAGATCAGCTCCCATTTCTTCTCATTGTCATATTGCCGCAGTAGCCTGGCTTTGTCAGGTGGCAAGTTCATTGCATTCTGTGGAGACAGAGAAAACAAACGTGAGAGACCACAATGGGCCTAAGGTCAGGAGGAGTCAGACAAGAGCAAACCAAGGCAGTACGACTGTGGTTGTTTAATAGTTTCATCTCAATTCCTGGTGTTTAAAGGGACTTTTTGTATCTCTAGCTTAGCCCAGGAAGTAGTAAAGCAAAAGGAGAAATAAAATCAACTATGCTCAATGGTGAGCTACGCTGAAAACTGGTGGAAGTGCATTACTATTTCTTAAAGAGGGCGCCTTTCAGAAGCATACTACTTCCTAAATATTGGGTGAAGAATAAGGTCTTGATCTCTCTTTAAAAAAGGTACAGGACCTGGCAGTCCTAGTTGGGTGAAGTCATGTTGCCAGTGCAGACTGCTAGAAACTTCCCAGCACAAACAGATTATTCCTGCCTTTTACATGGTGAATAGCCGTATTGCCTGCATTTTACAAACATTAATAGGTCTCTCAAGAAACTTTAATATAATCAGGAAGCTGAGGTACAAATAAGTTAAATGGCCATGAACAGTATGCGATAGAGCCTCAAGATACTTTCAAGTCAGTATCCACCAGTATGTGATAGAGCCACAAGATACTTCCCCTGCTCACGCAGCTATGGACCTGTGTGCCATGCAGCAGCGTATCTAAACATTTATTTTTTCCATTTGAGGTACACAGAATCAAACAACTCATATGTCTGTGGAAGTGCCAACAGTACAATGAAAGATTAGTATGCAACACATTTCAGCGCTGCCTAATAGATCAGGTATGTATAGCAAAAGCAGCTGCAGCGTCGATACGGCAATCAGTGCATGTTCTTTAACAGTTGGAATTTCAGGGAAGGCAGCTGCATAATGACATTTACAGCCCTAGGGCCTGCAACCTTGAACCTGGGAGAATGACCTTGGCAGCACAGTAGCTTTCTCCTGACTGCCACCCACATCCTCCCAGGCAGTTGTTGAGACCTTCATCAGTGCCTGAGGCTCCCTGAGACCCAGATGGCTGGTCCACAATGCCTGACCAAACACTTTCCCTATTTAAATCAGGAACAGGAGAAGGGAGTGTCAAGATATAGGACTCTTCTTGATCTTTATCTGTACTCCTGCAACTCTGCTCACTTTTTGACTCTTTGGTTCCTGCCTGAGTCTGTGCCTAATTCCCAGACTCTGGCTCCTGGCCTTGCCTGTTCCTGACTCCCAAGCATGTGCAGGGTGTAGGGATTTGCAACGTTTTCTTGACTGAAAGCACTCCTTGTTAGCCTCAAGGCATTCCTTGGAAAATGTCAGCTCTTGCTTTCAACTTGTCTGACTACAGAAAAATAATATAGCAGTTCTTCTATTTCAAAGACCACAGGAGGTCAGAATATTTTTGACACTATGGATTCCTAGTTGAAATCCTGGACTCACCTGTGAATCCTATGTAGGTGTTTGTACAACTAACAATGCTAATATTGCACAGCACACCATGGCACCCTTAAAAAGATTTCACAGCACCCCAGGGTGCCACAGCACTTTGGCTGAAAACCACTGCTCTGACTGCTGACATCCCAGTTATACTCCCAACAGCAGCTAGTACAGAGGCAACAATAAATACAAGCACCCAATGCCATTTGAAGTAGAAAATGAATAATTTGGCAAGCAAATTTCAAAACATTCAGCCCATGAACTGAGCAATTTTACTGTATCAAACTACCCATGACAGTAAGACAAACTTATCCTTGGGACTCCAAAAAAACAACCACTAGAGTCTACATCCTGCCCTGAGTTATATCTGTCAAGTCAATAGAAAACTCCTAACAAAGTAGACATGCCACAGGTTTACTGCTGAGAAAAAGGCATCTATGTTGTGAATGGGCAGGTATCATAACCAAAGTACTAACCCCAAGGAGCTCTGGCAACAAGCTATGTAGAGCAGAGCAGTATTGTGCGGTCTTCTAGGACAGGAGTTGTCAACCAGGGGTACGCATACGCCCAGGGTTACTTTAAAAGGTCGTAGGTGGTACGTGTGAGCAGGCGGGGACGGGACATGCCCTGGGGTGTTCCCACACTTTGCCTCTTACCTGGGGGAAGGGAACAGGAAAAGGGAGGGACATGCTGGGAACCACAAGCTCCGCACGGCACACCACAGTGCTTCCTCACCCCCACCCTAGTTCACTACCCCCTTACAGCAGAGCTGCAAGAGTCTGAATGGGGGGGGGGGGGGGGGGGGGGGTTTTTGGCCCCCCCCCCGCAA